CTGTTCTGACAAAAATGGGGTTGGCCATGAGTTAGACTCGATTTGCAATTGATGGGTAGATTATGCAAGAAGCTTCATAAGCACCACCCTATTTAATCATGTATGTGGTACTAGGGATATTGTTGCTGATGTTAGATGGATCTTGGCTGAAAGCAGAGAATACCAGAAGAATGTCTATCTGTGTTTCATTGATTATGCAAAGGCATTTGACTGTGTGGATCATAACAAACTGTGGCTGACTCTGAGAAGAATGGGAATCCCAGAACATTTAATTGTGCTAATACGAAACCTATACTTGGACCAAGAGGCAGTAGTCAGAACAGAGCAGGGTAACACTGCATGGTTCAAAATTGGGAAGGGTGTACGCCAGGGATTCATCCTGTCTCCATACCTTTTCAACATGTATGCAGAGCAGATTATCTGAGAGGCTGGGCTCTATGAGGAGAATTGTGGCATCAGGATTGGTGGAAGATCTATTAACAATCTCCGTTATGCAGATGACACAACCCTGCTTGCCGAAACTGAGGAGGACCTCATGCACTTGCTGCAAAGGGTCAAGGACTGCAGCCTTCAGTATAGACTAAGGCTCAATGTCAAGAAGACAAAGATTCTCACTACTGGACCAATTGGCAGCGTCAGGATGGATGACGAAGAGATTGAGAGTGTTCACAGCTTCAGTTTGCTCGGCTCCACAGTCAACACTCTTGGTACCAGCAGTCAGGAAATTAAAAGGCGCATTGCCATGGGAAAGTCTGCTGTTAGGGACCTCTCTAAGGTACTCAGAAGCAACAGTGTCTCTCTGGAGACTAAGGTGCGCCTGATACAGGCCATGGTATTTGCAATCGCTTGTTATGCATCAGAGAATTGGACAATGACTAGGGAGGACAGAAGGAGAGTGGATGCTTTTGAGCTGTGGTGCTGGAGAAGGGTACTGAATGTACCATGGACTGCCAGGAAAACAAACAGATTCATCTTGGAGAGGATTAAACCAAGCTACTCCTTGGAGGCAAGGATTCTGGGGCTTCGTCTGACATACTTTGGACATGTTGCCAGGAGGGACGGGTCCTTGGAGAGGGACATCATGCTTGGGAGGGTGGAGGGACACCGCAGGAGGGGAAGACCCTCTATGAGATGGATTGATTCGGTGACTGGAGTAATCGGGATGGGTGTGTCAGAGGCGGTGCGGTTGGCGCAGGATAGAGCAGGGTTTAGGGCTGTTGTGCATAGGGTCGCTATGAGTCGGAAACGACTCGATGGCACATAACAACAACAAACAATGGATGGTATGATTTTACATTATAGATCAGAGAGCTTAGGGTTTTTCGCAGCCAGTATGCAAAGTGTTAGGCAGGAAATTGCATAAACAATGTTTTGCAAACTTTTTTTTCTTAAGCAGAGAAACTGTTGAAATTACAGAGAAAAATTCAATACATAAAACATTATCAAAGCTCAGCTTAAAATGGCCCGGTACTGGAATCCTCCCATCCAGCTTCTCCTCTTAGAGCAAAGTATACTCCCTCCGTAAATACCAAAAACAACTCAGGCCCAGCTCTGGGTGCTTGACATGGTCGGAGCCTCATCTCCTGTCACAGAGTCAGGGTCCTGGGAAGAGTCCAGAATGCTCACTGAGAACTTTTGGATAGGTGTTTTGTGCTGCTTCCTGACTCCTCGCATTATTTCAGAACTGTGATCTGCTTTTGATGTCCATGGAGTAACACCAATAATCAATATTCATTCATTCAGTGCTATTTGTACAGTCACTGCTCTGTGCTGGGTGCTGTGCTTGGAGCTTTGGCTACAGTGGTGAATTGAATACACATGGGTCCTGCCTTTATGAAGCTTCAAGCTAGAGGGGAAGACAGCACTTAAATAGTCCCAAGAGGACCTAGGATCAGGCTTCGACCAGGGCTTGAGTGGAAAGCTCAAGGTCAATGACATGAATGAGTAGAGAGATCCAACCAAGTTCAGCTCTGCAATAAGCCACAAAGGAAATCGGGCCAGCTGGAGTCAGCTCAGGGGAGGTGACCAAAAACCAGGACCAGGAATGACAGGGCCTGTCTGAAAGAGAGAGAGGCTTGAGTTTTCCTTCTTCACCACATATTTTTAAGCAAGAAGCAGTATGTTTTCCAAGACCAGCAGGAAGTGTCTGGTACGACAGAATTGCTACATTTCTCCAGAGGGACAAAGAAAAATCCTTTACATAGAAGTTGAGTTATTGCGTATCTAGAACTCAGTGCAATGAGTAACGAATGAGTGACATCACAATTAAAATCAGTAATCATCAAACCATGGTAACAGGTGGGGTTGAAGTTCATTCACCTAGGGCAGGTCTATACAGGAGAAAACTTCTTCTGGCATCTCTGTGATCCGTTCTTCCCTCCCCTGCTCCAGGCCTGGCCCAGCTCTCATTGTCATTTATTTAACAAATATTTAGCTAACACCTGGTTGGGCACAGCACCAGTACCCCAGCCCATGTCTGGCACAGAGCCAGGGCTGTGTGTACACGTGGTCCTCATGGAGCTGAGGCTGAGGTACAGACATGGTAAAAACACTGCCTTCCCTGGTGCCTGCCATGGGTGGCCTCCCAAGCCCTGACTGCAGAAAACTCAGGCTGAAGAAAGTTGGAGGAAGGCCCAGGAACCAACGCCTGGCCCTGGGGAGTCTCTTTTTGTGTCACACTAATCTCCAGCTCTGGAATTTTGAGTGGAGTGGGGGAAGTCACCCCAACCTGCCAGCTGTCTTTCCTACCAGGGCTAAGGTTCAGAACACACCTCTCTTCCTGTTCCTCCTTTCTTTTTTGGAGGAACTCCTCCTTCTGTTCTAGGCCCCCCTTCTCCATGTCCCCCCAACCTCTTTCACCTCAGCTCTCAGTGCATTGTCTGGGAAGTGGCTGGTTGCTAGGTCTGGGTCCCCCACAGATTGTAAACTGCCTGCTGGAGGACTGGCTTCTTAATGTCCAGGGTCTCATAATGAGTGCAGTCCAGAGTAGGTGCTCAAGGCATAAATGCTGAACAGATGAATGTGGGCAAATAGGCAGATGAAGACCACTTCATACTCATTTTTCAAATAGCCATCTTCTCTCTCTCTCTCTCTCTCTCTTACACACACACATCACACACATCCACATTCTCTACCTTACTGGCCCACAGTCTCCCTCTGGGCTGAGTACCATATTGTTATATGAAGTCTCTTCCCTTTTGATCCGCTGGATGTGAATGACCCTACTTGTGGTCAATTAAACAATACAGTCTTAATAAAGCCATTCAGAGGGGACAGGGCTGGGTCATCCTTGCCTGTCTTAGTCACTGGCCCTTCCCCTCCATCTGGTCACTGAAGCATACTCACTCAGTGAAAGTGGTTTCATGTCTAAATTGTACTGGTTCTTCACAACAGAGAAAAGGGGTAGACAGGTTAGGAGGTAATGAACTCATTTTACATACAGATAAGGGAGCTAATCTGAGAGATTGTGGTTTATTCAGGTAGCATAGCCAGAGTTGGGGCCCTCGGATTTCCCTAACCAAGCACTGAACTCTATGCTAAAAGTCTTTACATTTCTGGAAAGCAGAGATGGGACAGGATGTTGCCTCTCACCCTTCACTACCTACAATCTACATATCCAGGATGTGGGACAAAACCGCCTTTGAGGATTGAATAAATGACCGCTCTTGAGCTATCACCTAACTTCTCTGCTGTCTGTTCCTTTCAGAAGCAAAGCCTCTGAGTGGTGGTGTCTTTATGCCCTCTTGTCTGAGCCCACTCCTGTGTTCTCCCGGGCCTGCTGTCCATCCACAGCATACATGCTATCTGCTGAGAACGGGTCCCGTACAGTGGTAGATCCAGGGGGGTGGGGAGAGAGGAGAAAGGGCCACAGGGCCCAGAAGGAAGATGAACAAACTGCCCCCAACCCGTCACCAGCAATCCACAACACCACGACACCATAACACCATGACAGGCCCACCTGGTTGTATGGACACAACCTTTACTGGCTCTCAGTTATTTTTTTAAAATTCCGAGCTGGAGTGTGCGGGGCCTTTTCCCCTGAATATCCTGCTTCCACTTCCAAATCATCTCCCGAAGACTCTCCTCCGGAGAGAAGACATGAATATTTAAAGACGTTGTTTCAGCCAGTGAAACCACATCATGCGGCTGCTCTCCCTTTAAATTTCATTTCCAGAAAGTTTGTCAGAATCTCTCCAAATGTCTAGTGCAGCCTGCTATAGACAGGAACATCAGATCCAAGAGCTGGGAGGACCCCTGAGAAGTCAGAGAGCCCAGATGAGCATGCTATCTCTCTCAGCTCACAATCATCACTCCACTCTTTCTGGTATCCCCAGAAAGCTCCCTGACAAACCGTCTCCTGCCTGAGTTCCTGGAGGAACAGAGAAGACAGCATGGGCACATGCTTGAGATGTGGAAGGACAGGGATCACAGAAATCGAACAATTTGCAAAATCCCAGGAGCGTAGAACCCTGGGGACGCAGGAGAGAAAGTGCTTGGCACGCTGGTTGCAGACCCGACGCTAATCCGGTTTATTCACCATCGCACAGCTGATCCCAGCCTCGTGCCATCTCCCGCTGGCCCCTCCAGCATCTCCACTCTGCAGAATTACTCACAGCCCACCACATCAAATTCCTCTATTATCAACAAGACACCACACTCCACGAATAACTTCTTGAAACTCTAGTCATGCTAAGCCGCCTCCAGTGCTCTGCAAAGGGTCCTGTCCCTCTGCCTGCCTAAAACCAATCAGCCACACACCACCAACCCCATTTCCAAAGTTCCAGGCAATTACAGCCGGCTGAGCTCCCTGGCGCCATGCCCGATTGCTCAGAGCCAGGACCCAGGTTGTTGGCAACCTCGATTCCCAGCCTTCAGCCTCTGACTTCCCCTCATTGCTTCTGAGATCAGAACACCCCCAAAAGGCCACACTCACCGTGTAGAAGCAATATGACCATTGATGACATCTCAACTCCAAACAAGAGTGAAGGCCAGACGCCTACCTTTGCTGAGGGTCCCAGTGATGAGCTTAAAGATGGTCTGGGCGAATTTCACGAAGCCCAGCTTGCATCTCGTGGAGCAGCCGCTCATGGTGGTGGAGGAGAGGTAAAGTCTGCTGTCAGCACCCAAAAGGGGAGCACCCACTTCGTGTGCCCCTGGAACTTCGATGAACCCCTGGAGGTGGCTGAACCCCAGAAGCTGGGTTCCGGGAACAGCACAGCTGCCTCTGCAGTGAGTCCGGCTTCTGCATCCAGGGAGGCTGCAGGGCACAACGTGTGCTCCTTTCCCCTCCCTCTCCCCACCCCCAGGTCTATCCACTCAAGTCCGTGCTACGAGGGGACCTCGGGATGCCAGGACCGGGGCAATGCCAGGGACAGGCACTCTGAGGGCACTGTGAGGCAAGGGAGCTGAGCAGAGCAGGAGGGAGGAGCGGGAGCTCCTGGCTTTGCTGACTGTCTTTCTTACATGGCAGTGGTAATGTAGCAATTAATACTGGAGACAGAGGGAGGGGACTGCTCCACGCAAACACTCAGCTCCGCAGCCTCTCACACACACCCTCTCCCGCATTTTCCTTCCTGGTTAATCTAATAGATCAGTTCGTTCTGCCTTGATCAGGATCGGAGAGCTCCCCACAGAGCAGGAAGCCGGCTGCTCCTAGGCACTCAGTGGAAAGTTTGCAGGCAACCTGGAGTGGCCTGGTTTGCATCACGGAGAAGTAAGGTGGAGTGAGGAGGTCCCGGGGGCTGGTCTGCCTTTTCTGACTCCGCTCAGCTGATGCCTCTGCCTTACACTTAAAGTCGGCTGCTCATTTCCACCCTCTGCTTCTGCCAGAGGGCCATGTGAGTGCATGTTCATTTTATTAGGGCGCTGTTATTGCTGGGTACCATCAGATTCGTCTCAGTCTTAGGATGACTTCATGTGTAATAGAGTAGAACTCATAGGGTAGTTTACAAACAAAAGACTATTTGTAATCTTTGTGGAGGCAAATTGCCTGGCATTTCTCCTATGTTGTAGCTTGGGGGATTCCAACTCTCAATGTTTCTGTTAGTAGTGTTTAACAGGTTAGCAGATGTTTGAGCCATAGGGCTCCTTATCTGGAAGGAAAATAAAACACTACATAACCTTGCTGTTGAATAAATCCCAACTTATGGCAATCCACATGTTACAGTGTAGATCCGCTCCATGGGGTTTTCTTGGCTCTCATCTTTACAAAAGTAGATTGTCAGGCCTTTCTTTCTTGGCACTGCTAAATAGATTCAAACTATCAACCTTTGGGTTGGTGGTTGAGCAAAAATTATTTGTGCAGCTGTGCAAAGAGTATGATTAGAGTTACTTTGACTTTTTTCAATTAAGAGGGTGTCTCAGAAATTCCATAAATTTCTTTCATTCCATAAATGCCTAAAATTCAAGCAAATTGGCTATGGTACAATAATCTAAACAGTAACACTGCAAGAAATTAAACAAAAGGTAGTTGCTAGCAATTGGGCTCCAATTCATGACAAGCTGACATACAACAAAACAGTACCTGCTCTGGTACTACAATCAGGGTTATGTGTGTGCTATTGCGTACACCACACTGTTGAGTCCTTTCTATATTTTAAGCATCATCTAACTATTGTTGGCATTAGTTAACATTGATTTAGTTCATAGTGACCATACAACATAAGGACAGAGCGGAATGAATTGCTGTCTAGTTAAACACCACACTAACCATTGTTGTTATGTGTAAGCTCATTCTTGCAGTCACTGTGGTAATGGATTTTGCTGATGGTCTTCCTCTTTCTGGCTGTCCTTTTCTTTACAAAGAACGATGTCTTTCTCCTGGGACTGGTCACTTTTAATAATGCCCTAAGTATGTGGGACAAAGTGTCTTAGCACCCCCACTTCTTTTTTTTCTATATTTTATTAATTTTCATAAACATTTACAGAGATTTTGGGTTTCCATTCATTCATTGTTGCACTATTCTCTCTACCCTCCTCCCAGTTTGTTCTTGTC